GATGCAAAAATCCTCAACAAAATACTAGCAAATCGTATACAACAATATATTAAAAAGATTACATACCATGATCAGGTGGGATTTATTCCAGGGATGGTTCAACATCCGCAAATCAATCAATGTGATACACCACATTAACAAAATGAGGAATAAAAACCACATGATCATCTCAATAGATGCAGAGAAAGACTTTGACAAGATCCAACATCCATTTATGATAAAAATTCTCAATAAAATGGGTACAGAAGGAAAGTACCTCAACATAATAAGGGCTCTATATGACAAACCCACAGCCCAAATCATACTCAATGGGGAAAAACTGAAAGCCATTCCACTGAGAAGACGAACCAGACAAGGGTGTCCACTCTCGCCACTCGTATTCAACATAGTACTGCAGGTTTTGGCCAGAGAAATTAGGCAAGAAAAAGAAACAAAAAGAGTCCAAATGGGCAATGAAGAAGTAAAACTCTCGCTGTTTGCAGATGATCTGACTTTATATACAGAAAACCTTAAATAATCCATTGGAAAACTATTAGAAATAATCAACAATTACAGCAAAGTTGCAGGGTACAAAATCAACTTACAAAAATCAGTTGCATTTCTATACTCTAATAATGAACTAACAGAAAGAGAACTCAAGAATTTGATCCCATTTACAATTCCAACAAAAAGAATAAAATATCTAGGAGTAAATTTAACCAAGGAGGTGAAAGACCCATACCATGAAAACTATAAGACATTATTGAAAGAAATCCATGATGACATAAAGAAATGGAAAGATATTTCATGCACATGGATTGGAAGAATAAATATAGTTAAAATGTCCATACTACCTAAAGGAATCTACAGAGTCAATGCAATCCTCATCAGAATCCCAATGACATTCTTCATGGAAACAGAACAAAGAATCCTAAAATTCATATGGGGCAACAAAAGACCCCAAACAGCTAAACCAATCCTGAGAAAAAAGAACAAAGCTCAAGGCATCACAATCCCTGACTTCAAAATATACTACAAAGCTATAGTAATCAAAACAGCATGGTAGTGGTACAAAAACAGACACACAGATCAATGGAACAGAATTGAAAGCCCAGAAATAAAACCACACATCTGTGGACAGCTAATCTTCGACAATGGAGCTAAGAACATACAATGGAGAAAGGAAAGTTACTTCAATAAATGATGTTGGGAAAACTGGACAGCCACATGCAAAAGAAGGAAAGGAGACCATTATTTTTCGCCACACACAAAAATTAACTGAAAATGAATGAAAGACTTGAAGGTAAGACCTGAAACCATAAAACTTCTAGAAGAAAATATAGGCAGTACACTCTTTGACATCAGTCTTAGAAGGATCTTTTCAATTACCATGTCTACTCAGGCAAGGGAAGCAAAAGAAAAAGTAAACAAGTGGGACTTCATCAGACTAAAGAGCTTCTGCAAGGCAAAGGAAACCAGGAACAAAATGAAAAAACAACCCACCAACTGGGAGAAAATATTTGTAGATCATATATCTGACAAGGGGTTAATCTCCAAAATATATCAAGAACTCACACAACACAACAACAGAAAAACAAACAACCTGATCAAAAAATGGGCAGAGGATATAAACAGACATTTTTCAAAAGAAGATATACGGATGGCCAGTAGGTACATGAAAAGATGTTCAACATCACTAATCATCAGGGAAATGCAAATCAAAACTATACTAAGATATCACCTTATACCCGTTAGAATGGCTATAATCACCAAGATAAAAAATAACAAATGTTGGAGAGGATGTGGAGAAAAGGGAACCCTCATACACTGCTGTTGGGAATGCAAACTGGTGCAGCCACTATGGAAAACAGTAGGGAGATTCTTCAAAAAATTAAAAATAGATATAGCAATCCCACTACTGGGTATTTATCCAAAGAGCTTGAAATTAACAATTCAAAGAGACTTATGCACCCTGATGTTCACTGCAGCATTATTCACTATAGCCAAGATGTGGAAGCAACCCAAGTGCCCACTGACTGATGACTGGATAAAGAAGATGTGGTATTCAATGTGGTATTCCATATACAATGGAATAGTACTCAGCCATAAAAAAAGACAAAATTGTCTCATTCGTAACAACATGGATGGACCTTGAGGATGTTATGTTAAGCAAATAAGCCAGACAGAGAAAGACAAGCACCGTAGGATTTCACTCATATGTGGAAGATAAACTAACACACAAAGAGAACAGTTTAGTGGTTACCAGAGGGGAAGGGGGTTGGGGAGTGGGCACAAGGGGTGAAGGGGCACATTTACACGGTGACTGACAAATAATAAGGTAAAACTGCAATTTCACAATGTTATAAACTATTATGACCTCAATAAGAAAAAAAAAAACACACCAACATACAGGGAAGTGAACCTAGCTCTCCTACCCACAGAGTATTCGTAGTTAGATGCCACTTTCAGAGTTCTTCACAAGGGTGATTTTTAATCAAAAGCAGTGCATACAATTTGGGAATGCAGATTTTAAATATACATCAAAAAGGTAGGCAAATCTGTGTAAATTTAAAAAAAAACTGCCAACATACTTACAGTTTTTTCATTATTCTCAAAAGCTTCTCTTGCTTCTTCAAATGTGCAGACTTCTTCTTTGCATTCACGCTCAATGTTGCCCTGTCTTATTTCTTCAAAAAGTCCATTAGCTCTTGGGTAGCGTTTTAATACTGAATTGGCTTTTTCTTCTGTGAGGAAAACTAAAAAGAGACATAATAATAAGCATAAAAGTGTAATTAAAAAACATTTGCAAAGTTAATATACAATATGAAAACTGCTAGATGCTTTTTTTTTTTTTGAGGAAGATTGGCCCTGAGCTAACATCTGTTGCCAATCTTCCTCTTTTTCTTTTTTCTCCCCAAAACCCCAGTACATTGTTGTAGGTCCTTCTAGTGCTTCTACGTGGGATGCCACCACAGCATGGCTTGATGAGTGGTGAGTAGGTCCACACCCAGGATCCGAACCGGCAAACCCCGGGCCGTCAAAACAGAATGTGCAAACTTAACTGCTATGCCACCGGCCCGGCCCCTGCTAGATGCTCTTTAGAAAACATAGCCAACATCCTAAACCTCTTTCCATGAGTCAGCAATGAAGTAACACTTAGCTCCAACCACCACATCTGCCATCTTCCTCATCATGTGAGTATGTCCCTTCAGGAGCAGTTGCCCTGGGCAGGGACAGTGACATAATTAACTGTGTTATATTCAGACTTTAGCACCTTCCTGCCAACCATGGGTGTGTAAATACAGTACTAATGATACCACTACTTATACTCATTACTATAAGTGGATACCCCAAGGCATTCTGCTGTTGGACAGCAGCAGGGAAATCAAAATCCAGTCTCTAGACTATCAGTCTTTATTCCCCTAAAAATAAATAAAACTCAAATTAACCTAATAATGTAAACCCAGAGAGCCCTTAGTTGTATGAAAAAGAAGCGATGACAAAGCAATATCCGGAAATTAAGATAAATTTCACCATAATTCAGTCCAGGGAACACTAATAATAATTTTTTCTAAATGCACTTAAATTAAATGTATTGTGACAATTTAATATATTCAACCCCATTTCACTGTCCTTCAGAAAAAGAAAATTCTTCTGTGTGGCTTATAGAGGCATTTCATATAAACATTCAAAATGTATATTTATGATACCCAGTAAAATAAATAAGGCAATAGTTATATGCACACTTATGGGGAATTATTTTTATCTTTACATACAGATTAATTTTAAACTTTACTTCAATTACATTTTTCCAAAAAGTGTCATGCTTGTTTGGAGAGATAAATACAATGCTACCAGAATTTAATCTCTGCAAAAGAAATTAGAAAACTCCTTAATCTTATAGACTTCTGACATGGGAGAAGGCAACAGATCCTTCAAATGTTAAAAAAAAAAAAAAAAAAAGTATTCATTTTGCAAAGAACATTTTGAAGTAAATGAAAAACAGTAGGTGCTCTTTTAAAAATGGCAACAATAGCAATGAATTTAAGGTTTGCCTAATTATAGAAACGTGTATTTCACTTTATAGAAGATATCGATTTATTACTTAGGATTCTTTAAAGTATCCAAATTGATACCAGCTAGATGGCATCTACACTAGGTTGAAAATTATGGCAGGCTTTCCATAAGTGTTTCCTTCCTTCTGTATCTTATAAGGGTACCCATCTATAAAATGAATCATAGAGTCATAGAATATCTTTAGAAGAAATCTTAAAAAATAAAAATTGTGGTAAGTGCTATGAAGGAAACTAAAAGGGTGCTGTTGAATTGTAGAATAACAGTGGAATTTTTTAGCATTGCTTCTCACAGTCCAGGAGCATCAGAATCCCCTAGAGCACTTCTTATCACACAGATTGTAGAGCCCAGCTCCCAGAGTTTCTGATTCCATAGGTCTGGGATGGGGCCAAGAAGTTGCATTTCTAGTAAGTTCCCAGGTAATGCTTGTGCTGCTAGTCCTACTACCAGTTTGAGAACCACTACTCAAATGTGAGTTTCTTAGAAAACTAGTTCTGAGGAAGGTGTTTATGGAATGCTGGGATTAACAAATTTAAAAAGATCTTTCAATGCATGACTTTTTAGGGCCCTTAATATATGTTTAATATATATTTATAAATCTCCGGAAAAGGAACATGACACGTATTCATCATATTTATTTCACTATGGAGCCCTTTTTCAAGGGACATTTCATTGAATTAACTTCCTAGCCATTGGTCTTATTTATGCCCTCTGAAATGACATACAAGTCTCCTCCATATAACAGGCCAACTAATATGTGAACATAGTAACTGATTTCCCTTGAGGCTTCTCTTTTCCAGGATAAACATGTCTAGTTCCTTCATTTGTTGGTCATATAAAATAAATAGGAGTCTCTGCACCATCTTTTTCTCATAAAATACAGTGTCCTACACTGAGTGCAATACTCTATGTATGGTCTGACAAGCGCAAAACTGATCAGGACTATCTGCTTCTTTGTTTTTAAACGTAATAGATATGCTGATACAGTGTAAGATATCCCTGGCTTTTGGGACAGTTTTCTTGAAGATAAACCAATCAACAATAATGTATTTTGAGCCTTTAAGAGAAAAAAATTGAAATTCTCCTAAGAGAAAGTAATTTTGTTATATGCTATCTACATGGAAAAGGGGAGTCAAGGAAAGCAGCTAACTGTTGTAATCAGAAAGCAGGCTAATTCATTGTACTTCTATTTCTGCATAGATTACATCAATGATGTACACCTGAAATTTTTACAATGTTATAAACCAATGTTACTGCAATAAACAAAAAATTA